TCTCTGGACCGGCTATTCAGGCTAGTTGCTTCTCTCCCTTGGGCCTCAGCTTTGCTGGAAGGCTTCTCCTCTCTGCCCCCCGGGAGACATGGCTCTGGGCAAGGCCCTGCCTCATGGCGGTGGCAGGCAAAGGCCTTGCATGCGGTATGATGCCAGCCCCAGGCCCCCACGTCTCCCTCCAGCTGGGATTCCAGTCTTGCCTCCCACATCTCAGCAACTCAGGCCCATGCAAGTTCTCGGCTTCCCTTCCAGCTCCAGCAGCCTGCCATGGGCTCAGCAGATGTTTGCTGCACTCTAGCCTGGAGAAGGCGATGGCACCCACTCCAGTCCTCTTGCCTGGAGAATCCCAGGGACGGAGGAGCCTGGTGGGCTGCTGTCCATGGGGTCGCTAAGAGTCGGACACGACTGAGCGACTTCACTTTCATTTTTCACTTTCATGCATTGGAGAAGGAAATGGCAACTCACTCCAGTGTTCTTGCCTGGAGAATCCCAGGGACGGGGGAGCCTGGTGGGCTGCCGTCTATGGGGTTGCACAGAGTCGGACACGACTGAAGCGACTTAGCAGCAGCTGCAGCAGTCTGTGGCTTCGTCACTTTTCCTGACAGTTTTCTCCCAACCCTTTCACCTGGGCCTGTCCCCCTCCACTTCAAGAGGGTATATCTGGGGCTTGTCAACCCAGACCTTGTGATGAGAAAGTCAGGCTTCAGAGTTGACACCTGGGGAAAATCACCTGAGGCTGAGGACCAAACGTGGTAGGTGGGACCCTGACACCCAACATACCCCCAGCCTCTATTGCAGAACACCAAGCAGGGCCTGTATCACGGAAAACCAAGTCCAGAAAAACAAGCAGGGCCTCTGTTGTGGACCACCAAGTCCTAACCCCTGGACCGCCACTCTGCTGGGGCGCACGCTGGCTGTCATGGTGCTTCTTCCCTCAGAGCTGTCCTAGTCTCCACTGAAACCTGCTTTAACTGGTTAGGTGTGTGTGTGTGTTGGTGGGGGTCATTCCCTGTGTGTGTGTGTTGATAGTGGTCTTTCCATGTGTCTGTGTTGTGTTGGTGGGGGTCATTCCATGTGTCTGTGTGTGTGTTGGTGGGGGTCATTCCACGAGTGTGTGTGTGTGTTGGTGGGAGTCATTCCATGTGTGTGTGTGTGTGTATTGGTAAGGGTCATTCCATGTGTGTGTGTGTTGGTGGAGGTCATTCCATGTGCATGTGTGTTGGTGGGGGTCATTCCGTGTGTGTGTGTGTGTGTGTGTGTGTGTATTGGTAGGGGTCATTCCATGCGTGTGTATGTTGGTGGGGGTCATTCAGTGTGTGTGTGTTGATGGGGGTCATTCAGTGTGTGTGTGTTGGTGGGGGTCATTCTGTGTGTGTGTGTTGGTGGGGGTCATTCAGTGTGTGTGTGTGTTGGTAGGGATCATTCCCTGTGTGTGTTGGTGGGGGTCATTGTGTGTGTGTGTATGTGTGTGTGTTGGTGGGTCATTCCCTGGTCCTGCACCCGAAGCTCTAAGTGCCTGCCCATCAGATAATTCTTGATAGTGCCTCTACCCATTCTTTTTATTGATTTGTTTTTGCATTTTTGTTTCGATTGATTTTGGCTGCAGTGGGTCTTCCTTGCTGCACGCAGGCCTTTTCTTGTTGTGACGAGTGGGGCTCTTCTCTTGTTGTGGAGATGGGCTCTAGGTCTTGCAGGCTTCTGTAGTTGTGGCACTCAGGCTCAGTCGCCCTGCCACATGTGGGATCTTCCCAGATCCACTGGCAGGCAGATTCTGAACCTCTGGACCACCAGGGGAGTCTGCGCCCTTTGTGCATGAAGGGGCTCCCTGTTCACAGGGGGAGGAGGAGGAGACCCCCATGGCCAGAGGAGACCCGGCTGCTGCTGTCAGCCTCTGTGGTCTCACCAAGATCTGACTTGAGGTTAACCCCCCCACGAAAGAAATAGAACTGACACCATTTGCTCAAGTGACATATTTCAATATAATCTCTAAAACTCTATGAATTGAACAGATAAAATACCTCTGGGCTATTTTGTTACAAAATATTTGCCATTTGGATTTGTCGCTGGGTGCAGCCACCTTGCTTCTCTTTCCCTTGAGAGGCTGCTCTCGACGGGTGAGGGGGTGTACGCGGCGACAGCAGGGGCGCAGCGAGGATGTATGTGCAGCAGGACACGGGGACAGACAGACGGGTGGTTGGCGGGGAAGCCTACTGGCACACGGACATCTGGCAGGCTGTGGGGGGCCGGGGCGGCAGGGTCAGAGCTGAGCACGTGGGCGGGTGCCTGTGCATGCCAGCTCCAGCTCGGAGGTGGGCTGGCCCCGCAGGGAGGGGGAAGCTAGGTTCATCTCCTGATTCTGCAGGTGGGGACAAATGGGTGAAACCGGGAAGGGGCCGGGTCCCCAAAGTAAGGCCTGGAGCATGGACAGAGCAGGGCCACCTTGGGGTCAGTGTGCATCTGATCAGGAGGCCGTGTCTCAGGGGCTTGAGCAGCACCCCATGGACCCCTCGGTAGGGGCTGGGGGGCAGGAGACCAAGAGCACCTCCACTGGGCCCTCCCAGAGGGTGGGGGGCCCCGACGTGACCACAGCTGTGCGGAGGGCCCAAGGCTCGTCCCAGTTGTCTGGGGGTCTGCTCTGGGGCCCGGCACAGAGGCGGGCCCCAAGCCTAGCCGTTTGGCCCATCAGAGGAGGGAGGTTCAGAGGCTGGAAACCTTGCTCCCCTGACTCTGGGGAGGCCCTGCCACCCCCTGTCCCAGGCCTGCGGGGGTTAAAGCCCCTCATAGCTCAGGGTGGGCTCCACATGCTGCTGACTCCAGCCTGGACTGCTTCCTGGGGCCGGCATTCCCAGGGCGCCACTGGAGTCCAGGGCAGTGACCGGGGGGTGGAGGGGAAGGGGCCGCAGTGGGGGGGCGCTAGGGGTGAAGCCCTATCTGGGGAAGGGCACTCAGACCCCTGAGCATCGCATCCTCAGTGGAGAGGACCACGCATGCGCCCGCCCTGAGCCCCCTGCTGGTCCCGACCTGGAAAGGCTGGGCACCGGCAGAGTGGGAGGGGGCACTTGGTCAGCTGTGGGAGCAGATGACTAGGGTCCCCACGACCCCCACCCTGTAGACACATCCTTTTCCTTCTGAGCCCACACCCCTGCTCCCAGGCCTCAGGCACCGGGCGTGTGAACCTGACCCGTGCACCCCGTTGGTCGGCCGCTCCATTTGGAAAGGCTCTGATTGGAGCGACCCTGTTACAGAAAAGACACAGGAGGCGGGCCAGGACAACAAGGACTCGGTGGGGGGCGGGGGGCACAGACGGGCTCAGGCGGTAAATTGGTCACACGGTATGAACACGGGCTGACAAAGACAGAGCCAGAAATACACTCACTGGGTGACATCACAGTGACGCCTGTGCTCACACACGTACACACGAAACTAGGTCACCTGGGATCTCTGAGAGAGGGAGGAATTGTGCCTCCTCGTGGCCCTGGGCCTGCAGCTGGGGCGTGGAGTGGGGCTGGGGAGAAGTGAATTCACTCTAGGTCCGGTGTTCAACTGCCATCTCTTGGGATGTCTCGGACCCGGGCCCCGAGCGGCAGGACCCTTAACGGAGGACAGCAGCACGCTGTCAGCTCAGGACCAGAGGAGGGTCCAGCCTGGCGGGGAACAGACCATCCCTGGAAGGGCCGTGACTGGGGCGGGCCGGCCAGCACACAGAGGGGTCGCACAGAGGCTGGCTCTGGCTCTGCCGGGCCCTGGGGAGACCAGCGAGCCCTGCGTGGCTCTCCTTCGTGGTTTCGAGGGTGTAGGGACGCTTGCAGCCACCCCTACTGGAGGCTGGCCTGCTGCCTTCTGGAGTGGGGGCGGGAGTTAAGAGGGCTAGTTGAGGGTGGCGGCGGGGGGTGGGGAGATGCCAAGTCTCTGAGCATCTGCTTCTGCATGGGTATTTCTGCGTGGGCACCTCTCACCCACTTCTGCATCCATGGCCCTCGTGGAGGCCACGGAAGTCATTCCAGGGACGGGGGGTGGGGAGGGGGTGCCTGACCTGGGTGGGTGGGAGTCCTCACTCTGCTGGTTGCGTCTGCCCCTGGGCAAAACCGGCCTCTCCCTGTTTCTGCTTCTACATGGGGAGGACCCAGTTCTGTGTGTGTGCGTGTTAATGCCCCGGGCACACACTTGACACTCTTTGGGGCTAGAGAACAAGAAACTCTATAAAGGGTGCATTTTGTAGCTACGTGACCTCACGATTCCTTGACTCTGTGGACCTGACTGAGAAAGAGCTGAAGGGCGCCCCTCCCCTTCCCCGTTTCCTGAAGTCTCAGCAGCCCCCGGGGCAGGCAGCACCCCAGCCCCAGAGGAAGCAGGAGAAGCCCCCCGTCCCCGGGGCCAGAAGGGTCAACATCCCCAGGGCACAGAGGAGCGGCCTCCTGAGATGGCTGGGCTGAGGGGTGGGGAGGGGCATCAGAGAAACCCACCGCTTTCCCCAGGCCTCCCCCTGACCTGGTGGCTCCAGGGATCCAGGGCCAAGTGGCCCCCACACAGTGTGGCGCGCCCAGTGCTGGGGCAGGAGCCAGACCACCTTCTGTGCAAGGCTCGGGTGCCAGCCCATAGCTGTCATACCTGCCCGCCCGGCCTGAGGCCCAGGGCCCCGCAGACCCGGCCCAGGAAGCTGGTTAGACCCTCAGCTCCTGTCGCCCTCAGTCCCTGGCCCAAGCGGCTGGAGGGGTGGTCGGGGTAGAAGAGGCCTAGCTGTGAAGGGCCGGGTGGGGCCCCAGGGAGCCAGGGAGGCCGGCAGATTGGAGGGGAGGGCTGCTCAACTGAGGAATGGAAGCTTGGGCCGAGCAAACCAGGTGCCAGGGACGGGAGTTCTCTCTCGAAAAGGACAGTGACGGGTGACCAGGAACGCGGCGTGCCGGGCGTGGGGAGCAGCGGGCGGAGGGGCAGTGGGGGCCCTGGCGTGGCCCCCTCCCTCTGCGACAGGAGCGCGGGGGGGGGGGGGGGTGGGGGCGTGTCTACACCAGGCTCCTGGAGCCGCTGGAGCAGCGACGTTGGTGCAACAGGGAGCCGGGCGGGCAGAACTGGTGCGGGTGGTTGTAGGGGGGTGGGGGCGGGGGCAGCGGGGGCCGGTGGGCCGCCTTGACCGGGGAGCCCGGGCCGCCCAGGGGCGTGGAGCCGCAGGAGTCGGAGGAGGCCGGGGCGTAGCAGGAGAGAGCCTGGCTCAGGAGGGGCTCCATGCGGGCCAGGCAGGGCTTGTCCAAAACAATGACCTTGACTATCTGCTGGCACTGCACCAGCGTCCCGGGGGGCGTGGGCGGCGGCGGCGGCGGCGCTGGTGGGGGCTGCTCGCTCGAGGGGCTAGGCTGCAGGTCTGGCAACGGCGCTCCCCTCTCGGCCCCCGGCCCGGAGCTGTGCGGGGACACCTGAAGCCTGTTGTGAATTGACACCTAGTTTAGAAACAGCCAGAGAAGTATGAAATGTTACAAGACTAATTCCCAGCTGCTGGGACTGGCCTCCCTCCCGGGCCTCCCTCCCCGCCCACCCTCACCCCTTTCCCAGTTCTTGTGCCCATCAGGGGTCTGCAGGCCCCACTCCCCATTTCTCTGCCACCTAGAGCGCACCCGGCTGCCAGGCAGAGGTGCTGGGCTCGGGCGGAGCCCAGAGACAGCTATGTTCTGCTCCAGCTGAACCTCCTGGCTCCTGTCTGTGGGGTGGTCAGTTGGACCAGTGGGCTCAGGTTATGCACTTTGACCTCACAGACCTTCTGGGCGGCCCTGGGCCACGTGGGAGCACCCACCAGTCTCCCCACCGGCCTCAAGCTGGAAAAGCAGGAGTATCTCTACCGCCTCCCTGTCTCCCAGGGGTGTGTTGGGGACACAGGGACAGGGTCAGGAGGCAGGTGGCTTTCAGCCTTGCAAGCCCCTCCCCTCCCACCAGCTTTGTTAAAGCAAGGCCTCATCGTCACCGTGGAATCACAAAGGTGTCAAAACCCTGAAATTCCAGGGACCCCAAGGGGCAGTCTGGACATGCCCCATCCTCCCAGACTCCCCAGGGCCATGCCCACACATTCAAGAGCAGACTCCAGCCACAGTCAGGCCCTCAGCTGCCTTTCTGGCCCAACCTGGGTCCTGGAGAAATCTGTCCTGCTGCCAGAGGGGGAACCCAGAAAGGACCCCCATTTTTCCCCCTGGGTTGGATTGTGAGGGGTGGCCCCTCCCTCCATGGGCACTGGGGACTAGCCTGTCCTCCTCTTGCTAGCAGGGATGGTAGAATAAATAGCAGGATTCTGGAAGGAGGAGGGTTTAAGAAATTCCTCATTCCTCCAGCACTCCAGCCTGTAGATGTGACACACAAGCCTTTCTGGACCCTTGGACCTTTCCAGGGGTGGCTGAGACTCTTACCTCTGGGGTTGCTCCCGACAGTCCTGGGGGCATCACCCCTCAGGCTCAGGATGGGGGAATACCAAGGCTGCAAAGGAGCCTATAGCCAGGCTAAACCACGATGACCCTGCCCTACACTATCTCAGAGCTCTAAGCCAGCAGGTCCTGACCCTATTTACTGGCAAAAGGTGCAATGTCAAGAACTCCCCCTTCCTGGGTCCGGGTGCTGCCCTGATGGGTCACTTGGCTCTCCAGTCCTGCTCCTTATCCCCCCACTCCAGCCCCGCTTCTTTGGTTTTCACAAGCCCCCACCTCCAGGGTCTTCAGGCCGTGGGCTCTACTCTCCATTCTCAACCTTTACCTTGGCAGCGTTTTCTAGGCCTGAGCTTCTTCCCCCCACTACTCCCTGCCCTGTTCCAACAAAGGAGTCCCCAAGCCCCTCAGTGCCCAGACAGGGCAGAGCAGGGCTGCGTCTCCCTCCCTCTGGAGGAGTCCTCTGTGGTCCTCATTGTGACAGAAGGCTTCCTTCCATCCGCTGGGGGGTGGGGATGGGGGTGGCGGCTCTTTTCCCCACCTGCTTTGAGTTATTCTGAGTTATTCCCCACTCTATTCTACTCTATTCTGAGTTATTCCCCGAGAGGAAGTGGCCTGAGACCATGGGGTCAAGCTTTCTGCTCATTGCCCGCAGACTTTACCGCAGCCCCTCTCGGGGCAAACGCCTGACTATCCAGCTCAGACTCTTGAGCCCGCTGGGGAAGCAGCTCTGGTCTCACCCTGCACTTCCTCCTCCGCTCCCTGTCCCTGATCCCCGCTCCGCTGTCTGCACCTCCCTCTGCCCCACCCAAGCTGGCCCATCCTTATCTTTAATAGTAAAGTGAAAAGCAAGAAGTGACAGCAGAAAATTCTGTCATTCTGACCGCCCCCCCCCTCTGCTGATGAAAGAAAGAAGAGAGAGAGAGGGGAAGGGATGGAACATGAGTAGCAAGCCTGACAGCTCAGACAAGCTGGAGAAGCGCCTGACAGCAGGCGGCCAGGCAGTGATGGGGGTGGGGAGCGGAGGACGTGGGGAGCTTGGGGTCCAGCAGAGAGGTGGGAGGCAAGGCTACCCTCGGTGCAGGGGAGCAGAGGCTGGCGGGGCCCTGGGGCTAGCCTTGCAGATAGCCACGTGGCCCTCTGGACCAGGGGAGGACGGGGCGAAGGGCCCCCAGACCGTGGTCCTCCCTGGGCAGGGGCTTGAAGGCACGGGCAGGGCTGGTAACTTGCGGTGTTTATCTGCAAGGCTGGAGAACGGGCAGCTGCAGGAAGATGGGCAGGGGGGTGGTGGTCGCGGAGGATGGAATACCCACCCTGGGGGCTTGCCAGCTGCTGGGGCAGGAAGCTCCTCCGTGTGAAGGTGCCTCCTCCAGACACAGGTGTGTGGGGGGTGGGGGCCACGGGGAGAGTGAGGGTGTCCTGGGGCTTCCCCGAGCTCAGTCAGGCTGGGGGCAGGGCTCCTCCCCCAGAGCCCTAAGAGGGGGCTCCTCCAGCTTGGAGTGGGGGGGTCTGTGTGAGCATGAGGGACCCTGGAGGCCTGGCAGAAATGAGTGAGGGGCTCACGGGGGTCCGAGGGGAGCCAGTGGGGAGGGCTGGGGTCCCCAGGCTCGCAGGGTGACTGCACGCCCCCTCCCAGGTGGCGCTCCAGGGCTGGCAGGGACCAGCTGCTACTGCCACTCCACCAGTCCCTTCCGTCCAACTTGGAGGGTCTTCAGACACAGCAGCGCCCACCCCACCCTTCCAAGGAGAAGCCCTAAGACAACCCCAGTCCCACCTTTCCTCACTTTCTCCCGCATATCCCACCCCATGGCCAGCTTTCCAGGTGGCTCAGCTGTGTTGGGCAGACACTGTACCCTCCCAGCCGCCCCCACTTTCCCCAGAGGCTTCAACTTGGGGACTGGACCTGAGGCGTGATTCTCGGAGGGACCAGGCTCCCTCCACAGAGGCTGGCAGGATGTGGGAGGGGGACATGGGGCATCAGGACCATAGCATGTGTGGGGCGGTGGGTTTAGGGGACCGTGGAGGGATGCAGTGGGGGTGCGGGGGGCTTCATCTGCACGTGTTAGTCTGGGAGCTCAGCCTGGGGGGCTCGGTGGGCTGGGCGTCCAGGGAACTGGAGGGGGCACTGCGGCTTAATTAGGCGCTGGAAGAGTGCATTACCCATGCTAGCAGTAACTTTTAATTGTATCTCTTGAAATTGGTAATATGGTGAGTCGGGCTGGGGAGGCATTGATTAAAACCTGAGAAGAGAAACAACAGAGACAGTGAGAAGAGGGCGGGGCACGCAGACACACTCACCTGGGCAACCAGGCCTCCACTCACCTCCACCGTGCTCTCCGCCGCCTTCTCCCCCGCGGCTGCCGCTTCCCTTTTGGCTTTGAATGCAAAGAGCACAGGGCTCACTCTCCACCGCCCTGTTCCTGCACAAAGCCCTGCCTACCACCCCCCCACCCGCCCCATCACACCCCACACCTCCCAACCTGGCATCCTTCTGGAGCCTCCAGGGGCCCCACAACTGTGGGCAGCAACAGACTTGATGCCTGAGCCCAGCTCTGCCACTGAGTAGCTGTGTGACCTTGGGCAAGATGCTACACCTCTCTGGGCCCGTTTTTTTCCTTGCTGGGTATTGTCGAATCTCCTTTACCCTATCAGAGCCCCAGACGGACTGTGCGGAGTGGCTGTGAGGAGGCCTTGGTTCTTGGCTCCCGGGGACTCTTGAGTGTCTGTGGCACAGACTCTGTGAGGGAGAGGCCCCGTTCCTTTCTTGTTCCTGCTACCGAGCTGAGTGCTGAGGATTCAGTGAGCTGCACGCGCCCCAGGGCAGAGCCTGGCGCAGCTAAGAGCAGTCTGTGATGGCTACCAGGGATTTCTTTTTTTAAAACCATTTTTTTTTGGCCGAGCCCCGAAGCATGTAGGTTCTTAGTTCCCTGACCCAGGAAACAGACCTGTGACCCCTGCATTGGAAGTGCGGGCCACTGGACCACCAGAGAATTCCTATCTATGAGGGCTTTCTTTTCTTTTCCATTACTTTTTATTGGAGTACAGCTTTACAGGCTGTGTTAGTTTCTGCAGCAAAGCGAATCGCCCATACGTAGACACGCTGCTGCTGCTCGGTCACTCAGTCGTGTCCAACTCTTTGCGACCCCATGGACTGTAGCTCGCCAGGCTCCTCTGTCCAGGCGATTCTCCAGGCAAGAATACTGGAGTGGGTCGCCATTTCCTCCTCCAGGGGATCTTCCCTACCCAGGGATCGAACCTGCATCTCTTGTGTCTCCTGTATTGGCAGGTGAATTTTTCACCACTGAGCCACCTGGAGAGCCCCATACATATACATACATCCCCTCTTTTTTTTGGATTCCCTTCCCATTCAGGTCACAGCAGAGGCCTGAGTAGAGTTCCCTGGGCTGTACAGTAGGTTCTCATTAGTTCTCTCTATTATACATAGTAGTGTATATATATATAAATCCCATTCTCCCAATTCGTCCCACCCCTCCTTCCTGCCTTGGTATCCATACATTTGTTCTCTACATCTACATCTCTATTTCTGCTTTGCAAATGAGATCATCTATACCATTTTTTTTTTTTAGATTTCATATATATGAAGGCTTTCTGATGGGCCTGGCACACCCTGTGTACCCCCAGGGACAGCTTGAGGACTTCTTCCAACTCAGTCACCCCTGACTCCCACCCCCACCCCCAGCAGCATCCTAGAGCCCTCTGCCAGGGCCCTCTGATTTCTCACACCCCTGGGAGGGCACCCACTCCCTGCGATGCCCACCCCTCTGCTTTCTGTAACACAAGAGGAAGTTGGGCCGAGTGGGTTCGAAGTGTTTCGAACCGAGGACTCCGCTGGGGAGGGAACTAATGGACAAGGCCCTGGAGATGCACGTGGGTGGGCGGGAGGCCGGGGGCTGCAGCTACCCCGGGAGATGGGCTGTGCTGCAGAGAGTGGGGCGGGGTGTTCGGGAATCAGCCACAGCTGAGGTCTGACTCCGGGGTTTAAACAGCTGTGAAAACAGGCATGTGCTGTGACCTCAGACATAAAGGGGCCACTGACAACAGGGCAGGTGGACAATTAGGTGGTGGGTCAGACCCACACACAGAGGAGACATCACAGTGAGGGTCTCCGTGAGCAAAACCCGTGCTTGGAAAACCAATCTCATCTCCCAGCTGGTGGGGATGGTCCTGTGATGCTGTCACAGCATCTCAGCGCCATGGCCGTAACCAGGGGGGGTTGGGACCAGCATAGAGCCCACTGGAGGCTCAGCTCAAACTGACGTCCTGCTGGGAGCCTGGTTTCCCAGAGCTTGGCATGAGGCACACAGCAGGTGCTCAATAAGAGTTCATTACTGTAAGGATGAATGACTGAATTAATTCATTAGTGAAGAGTCCCGGATAGTTTGCTAGGGTTTGTGGGGCTGGGTTTTAATTCTTATGCCACCTCTCCTTCTGATTCCTTTTTCTTTGGGGGCAGGTGGGACGGGAGTGGAGGCCAGTCTTCTCCCTGCAGGTTGGGGGAAGGAGGGGGCCGGAGGTAGAAAAGTAGGAGGGGGGCCAAGGGAAGGGAGGAAGAGGTCTACAGAACATGGCCAAAGGTGGCAGAAAATCTGAAGCTGGCTGAATTCATCTGGAGTGAATAATTCAACCTGGAGAAACCATTTGAGACACTGGGTTTGAGGATTCCTGTGGGTTTCAGGAGGTTGACTCAGACCTAGGATGAGAGAGTGCTGGTGGCCCCTTAGGAAAAGGTCTGGAGGGGGCAAACCGAGATTTCCAGACCCTTCTGGCCACCTTTCTTCTTTCCTGCTCCCCGACGCAAACACCCCCACCCCGCACACCAGCAGTCTGCAGACAGCGAGGGGCCCAGGGTCCCGACACCTCCAGGAGGACAGTGACCTTTGTCAGTGGACACATTTTTCTCTCGCCTTCCACCCGCTCCCACTGCTGAGGCCCCAGGAGGTTGGGCCATGGAAAGCAGCATCTCCCTTGCCTGAATCCCCCAGGACCCCAAGGCTGGGATGTGGGTGGGGCCCCCACTCAGGCGGGGCCCCAGATCTGGAACTCACCTGTGGGCGATCCTTGCTTGGACTGCGGGTCCCCCTGGGCTCCCCCGGCCTTGAAGGAGAGAGTCTTTGTTCCTTGCTGCTTCTCCAGCTCCCCTGGGAAACAGAGAAGCTCGTGAACAGAGAGAAACCCGGACCCCAGCACACAGACGGGTGAGAGATGGGGGAGAGTGGGGGGAGAGGGGAGGGTCTCCTGAACACACGGCACCTACTTTCCCACTTCAAGGCCGGTTCAGTGCCTGCTGAAGCCTCAGTTCCCCCTCCAGAGGCAGGGATGCCAGCCCCTGCTCTGACAGCCCGAGAGGAGGGGGACGAGGTTGACAAGAGGCGGGCAACCACCCAGGTCTGCATCTTGGCTCTGATGCTGCCTGGCTGTGTGGCTTCAGGCGGGTTACTTAACCCCTCTGTGTCTCTGTTATGGGGACAACAGTGTCTACTTCATAGGATCATTAAGAGGGTCGCAGGAGAAAAGACATCAAGGCACTCAGGCTTGTCAGGAGCTTAACACGCATCAGCTCCTAGGACGACATGGAAGGCTCACATGGTGTAGCTAGCGCCTCACCAGCGCTGGAGCCGTCCTGTCCGCCCACCGTGTCCGCCGGCCGAGCTCCCCTGAGAAGGGGTTACCCAGCTGCTGAGGCTCTGGTGGATGCCTGTCTGCTTTGTTGCTTTGTTGCTCAGTCGCTCAGTGGTGTCTGACTCTTCGAGACCCCATGGACTGCAGGGACCAGGCTTCCCTGTCCTTCACCACCTCCCGGACTTTGCTCAGACTCGTGTCCATTGAGTTGGTCTGCCTGCTACTCAGCTTTAATTCCTCTCTCTACATGAAAAGCCGATTCCTTCCTGTCGGTCCTCAGTGGTGCTGGAGAAAGGCCAGTTACCCTCCTTGGGGATTTGACAGCTGTTATTACATCCCTCTTCAGTTCCTCTTTTCCAGGAGACATCACTGAAGTTCCCTGTGTTAAAGCTACTCTCCTGGGTTCCATTTTCGGCCCCTCTAGGGGGCTTCCCAGGTGTTGCCAGTGGTAAAGAATCCACCTGCCAAAGAAGGAGGCATGGGTCCAATCCCAGGGTCTGGATTTCCCCCAGAGAAGGGAATGGCAACCCACTCCAGTATTCCTGCCTGAAGAATCCCACGGACAGAGGAGCCTGGTGGGCTACAGTCCCTGGAGTCGCAAAGAGTCAGACACGACTGAACACACACGCACTCTAGCAACTAGTCGTCTGAAATCTGGGGATACCGGCTCACAAACCCCAAACCAGAACCGTTTGTGCCGACTGTCTGAACCGCGCCATCAGTCGGTACTCAATAATCTTACTGAACGGAGAGGTGCTCCTCTCTCCCCAAAGGGGCCACCTTGGCTTCGGAGAGATCAGCGAGGAGTCCACTCTTGCTTTGTCACGGATCTCGTGAATCTGGGGCCACTTCCTTAAGTTCTGTTAGACTCAGTTTCCTTATTTGCAAAATGAAGATAACACTACTCAGCTCCTGGAAAGGTGTGGCAGGAATTAAATCATTCGACAGGCACAGCATTCAGCCCAGGGCCAGGCATGTAGTAAAGGCTCGATACACAGGAACGCTGGCTGTTGTTTTCCTTTTTCTCTTTTCTTTCCTCCCGGCCTTCCTGAGCAACCTGTCCTCTTTGCTCAGCTTTCTTCCCTTTCTCTCCACCGGAAGAGCAAGAGCAGATGTGAGCTCTGCACAGCAGGAGAGGATATTCACCCTTAGCACCCAGATCCTGGCGATGTCAACCCCTTTGTTCTCAGAGGGGCAGATACACTCCTCCCAGGCTGATGGGGAAAGTCCCATGCACAGCCAGGTTTGTGCCTGCCTTGGGTGCTGGACTCTCCAGCTGCATCTGGGACATTCTGACATTCTGACAAGGTGAGGGTGTATCCTTGAGAATGTTCCAGACCAACAACTAAGATGGCATTGAAAGGAGCCTGTTATGCCCCTGAAGTCACACTGCCCACCTACAGCAGAAAGGGAAATTACACCCTCCCTGCACCAGGCATTAATGAGTTTAGTTATATGCACTGGTCGGGAGAGTTTTCTGTTTTAACCTGATTTCACTGCTTTCTTAGGACATTAGAAGCAGAAACAAGCCTCTCATTTTCAGACTGGAAAGTATGTGAACCTCGGAATCAGACGCCAGTGCAACTGTCGGGTCGTCGGCTTCTAATATGCACTTTAGACACATCCCTTAACTGCTCTGTCTCGTCCCGTGAGGCCATGCGTCCTTGCAGCCTCCCTCCGGGCACACCTAAACAAGCCGCCAGGCACACAGTAGGTGCTCCAAGGATGCTCGTGAAGCATCGCCTGGCGCATCGGCACCCTCCTCAAAGCTCCGACTGCCTTTCCTCCTGCCTAAGGGGTTTAGACCAATTTAGAACTACTTTTCAACTAAGTGGCCATGCAAGGCAGACCTGGAGTCTCTATTTTCTGTTGGAGTTTCTGAATCCATTCTTATTTAATTTTCCTTTAAAGGCTCTCTGAAGCTGCTGCAATGCTTCTTGACAGGAAAGCGTGCAGGTGGGCAGGGACCGCAGGTTGTGACTGTTCTTGTCTTGAACCCCGAAGCCACCGGTAAACCAGCCGGATGGATGAAGCGGCTCCGAGATTGTCTACAATGCCCGAGTGAGAGCAACCGAGAACAGGCGCTCCTTGGAGGACAGAAAGACAGCCCCGAGGTGAGGGGCAGTCAGAAAGCCAGCTGGGACTCTTCAGAAAGACACGTTATGAAACAGTTAAGTGGGGGGACCCGTATAGGTTAAAAGGCAGGAAAGACAGGAAACAACCAGCTGTGATGTGTGGGGATCTGAACCGGATCGGGCAGGAGGCTGTCCAGGGAGACTGGGTGAGAATCTCTGCCCGGATCCCCTTGGTGGGCATGCCTGTCTTTAGGGCCGGCTCGCTCCCTGGTCCTGCTCAGACCCAGCGGAGTTCTGTGGCCAAGGGGCCCACAGGGAGCCCCGCAGCCTGGCTACACGTGCACATGCCCTCGAGTGCCTCGGTTTGACTGTGAAGCCTCCATCAGCCGTGATGGTGCAGTGGGGCCAGGGGCGGGGAGGGCTCAGGAAGGCAGAGGGGCCTTGATCACCCACACTCACTCCACAGAGGGGTGTCTGTCTACGAGTGACCCGGGGGTCTGGGGTGCCCCATCCTTACACTCTATCCGGATCTGCTCCAGCTCTGTCACCTCGGCGATGGACTCCTTCAGGTCTTCCACAAACTTCTGCATCTCGTCCAAGCCCAGGGCGCAGAAATGCAGCACCTGCTTCTTCTCGGAGCCCGAGAGCGGGGTCACCAGGGTGATGCCGTGAGAGTAATCTGGAAGCCAGACCCCAGCCACCGTGGGCAGTGAGCAGCTGCAGGTGAGGCCTGGGCCCAGGGGTGCCTGCCCCTCCGCCTCCCCTAGCCACATCCACAGACTTACACTCGTTCTCGAAGAGGTGGAACTGCATGCCCAGCAGGCCCACGGACCTGCAGAAGGTGTACGTGGAGGAACTCTTCTTCTTGGGGCAGAGTTTGAGAATCTGTCCAAGAGAGGGAGACAGACGTGCACTGACGGGTGTGCGCTCGTGGGATAAACATGCCTCACACTCCTGGATGGGCGGACACCCAGGGCCTCTGGTGAGCACAAGTAAACCCACAGAAAGGGACACACCCGCCCAGGCAGACTTACACACTTAGGATACATTCATGCACACATGCACACGTGACATAGACTTACACACTTAGGATACCTTCACACACATGCATACACACATGTGTGCACACATACATATACACACACACAATATACAGCATGAAACAGTCCAGCAACCCTTCCCACTGCATCTAGCACCCAGCCCGGACTCCCGGCCTGGTCTATAACCCCCGCCTCATCTGGTCCCTGCTCTGCTCAGGCCAAGCTGTCCTTTCTGTGGCTTGAACAGGGTGGGTGGGTCCCCCTGTGGGTCTCTGCACCAACTGTTTCCTTGCAGCTTCTCCTCACTTAGTGCTGTGCTAAGCTGCTTCAGTCATGTCCAGCTCTTTGTGACCCCAGGAACTGTAGCCCACCAGGCTCCTCTGTCCATGGCAGTCTCCAGGCAAGTATACTGGAGTGGGTTGCCATGCCCTTACCCAGGGGAATCTTCCAGTCCCAGGGATGGCACCCGGCTCTCTTAAGTCTCCTGTGTTGGCAGGCAGGTTCTTTACCACTAGCGCCACCTGGGAAGCCCCTCCTCACTTAGATCTTGACTCAAATATGGCCTCCTTAGAGACCCCTTCCCTGACCACCATTTCTAACAAACAAAAACAAAATGAAAGAAGAAAAATCCCAGCCTCAGGATGCCGGGGCTGTGGGAGGAGGACCCTTGGGATCCATAAGTCAATCAATGGGTCAATCCATTAATGCCTAACAAGCCGAAAGGCAAAGTGAAGAAATGCATATACAGGTGACGGCAGAAACTGGTACTTTTTTTCTTAACGGGGCAGTGAAGCGTCTCAACCACTGGACCGCCAGGGAAGTCCCCGGTATGTGTTTTGAGGATGAAGGACTGGGCAGTGAGTGGGCAGGCCACCTTTGAGGTGGGGGGACATCTGCACTGAATGAGGGGAGAGAGGGGGTCATACAAGGTCTGGGAGATGATGAGCAGAAAAAGTCAGGGTCTGAGATAAGAGCCCGGCAGCCTCTGGAGAATAGCTGGTGGGTCAGGGGGTGGGGATGGAGGAGAGGCATGGAGGGAGGTGAGTCCCATGGGTGGGTGGGCTGACTCTGCTGCTCTTTGGAGGGGGACCTCAGGTGTGATTGTCAGATGTGGGACAAGGTTAGAGGCAGTGCAGGGATGAGTCATGGATGGAGAGAGTGGTGGGGGGTGGAGAGGAGACAGAGACCAGACCCCGTACACCCCTGCTTTCTAGCACTTAGAACAATGCCTGGGACACAGCTGACACTCACTAAATATTCACTCTATGGATGCCTGTGTTCAAAGGGCTTCCCAGGTAGCGCTAGTGGTAAAGAACCCACCTACCAACACAGGAGACATAAGAGACTTGGGTTCGATCCTTGGATCAGGAAGATTCCCTGAAGGAAGGCGTGGCAACCCAGTCCAGTATTCTTGCCTGGAGAATCCCATGGAGAGAGGAGCCTGGTGGGCTACAGTCCATGGGGTCACACAGAGTCAGACACGACTGAAGAGTGAAGGCTGAATGCCGCATAGATGTACAGACATGCACACGCATGTGCGCCCACGTGCACACACACACACACATATGCCAGCATTCCCCTGGACCCAGGAACAGTACCGGCCGCTCTCAGACCCCCTGCACCTCCCAGGCTGCGGGACAGACGGACGTGCAGCCCTCTTCCCTCCAGCCCCAGGTTTCTCATCATGACGGGGAGGCAGACGCTCTGGGACCTAGTCCATTCCCACCAGGGCCGGGAACCCCGAGCAGATAAGCTCTGCGCCTTGGCTTCATAACCTACAGAGGAGGTTATGCTGTCTGCCCGGGCTGCCTCACACCGCAGGCTGTGCAGCACCCTGGGGGAGTGGCCCCCGAGCCCCTCCCTGCTCAGCTCCTGGCTCAGCTCCCCGCTCACCACCAGCAGGTCGTTGAAGAGGAACACCTCCCTCTGGTGTGTGGCCTGCTTCTGTAGCTTGTTCACATCCGTCACCTCGAAGAGTCGGCTGCAGCAGACCAGGCGGCGATGGGGCACCGAAAGCACCTGGGGGATACACGGTGCTCAGCGGGGGGCGGAGGGGGCCCACGGTCGCGGCTGTCACCCCCCAGCACCAGTTTCCAGAAGAGCAGATGCAGGCCTGGTTTGACCCTGAACCTCCCCTCTCCTCCCCAGGGCTCTCTCCCCTTCCTCGCGCTCCTTGGGGAGCAGGGCTGGGTAAGAGGGGTTCATGATGCTGGGAGGAAGTAAGAGGATAAAAGGTGGAGAAAGGACATTGAACAGCGTCTCCGGGGTTTCCCCGGTGGCTCAGTGGTAAAGAATCCACCTGCCAGCTCAGGGGACACAGGTTTGATCCCTGGTCTGGGAAGATCCTACAGGTTGCGGAGCAAATAAACCCATGCACTGAAACCACCGAAGTCCGCACACCCTAGAATCCAGGCTCCACAACAAGGAGTAGCCCCTGCTCCCCACGACTAGAGAAAAGCCCCCATAGCACCAAAGACCCAGCATGGCCAAAAATAAATAAATAAACATTAAAAAGAAAGAAAGAAAAGAGCCTCTGGATCATTCAAGTCCCACCACTGTGCACCCCTCTCCCTCCGAGGCCTCCTCGAGGGCACCCCCACATTCTGGGATGTGCCTCTCTCGGCTGCATACCCAGACACAAGTGTGCAAGGTGGAGGGGGGGTCCCAGAGACACTGGGAACCTGCTCTAGTGTGTTAGCCAGCTCCAGGGGGCGTCCACAATCCTGACAGAGGCTGGGACTTCAGCATGAAGGGCTCTAGCCATGAAAGGCTGACACCACATGAATGGGTGGAGGGGTCCAGCACAGAGCCTCCAGCAAGGTCCCCAAACTGCCCCCTGAGCCAGCCAATGGGGAGGAGGAACCGGAGAGATGAGCATTGGGGAGATGGAGGCCAGACTTTTATGTCTGCGGTATATGGAGCTTCTGTGGACACCTAGAGAGGATTGCCCTTAAAAACCACTGCAAACTTGGAGCAAACTGTGACTCAGACTACAGCTCAGGGGCACCCCAAGGGTTTGAGACCCCATGTCGAGAGCCTGCTTTAGCCCACATCCTGCCTTCTCTTCAGTAGATCATCCAGGAAGCCCAAGGTCCGTCCCACCCCAACCTCCCTAACTGGCCTTCCAGAGGCTTCAACCCAAGAGCCCGGGCAGTCTTTCCCAGCATCTCACTTCTACCCCTCCCACTGCAGGAGCTGGTCAAGGTGACAATAAGGAGATAGGCAGGTGGAAGGAAGAGGGTGCAAGGAAGAAAGGGAAGGAGCTGGAGAGACAGGGTCTCTGTGGCCAGAGGGGGAGGCATGTGACCCCTCACCCTTTCCCTTTTCCCCGCCAGCTAAGCACTGTGACACCACGGTGGGTACTTACAGTCTTCATGCCCACGATGGACTTCTCCACCTTGGTGACGTACGTGACGTGGTCCTCGTTGGACTTGAGCTCCTTCTGCTGAATCCTCTCGTAGATGCCGACCACCAGCTCCCTGGGGATGTCGGCACCGTCATCCACACCTAGGGACGAGGAGTGGGGACGAGACGGGTCAGGGGGTTCAGGGGCTGGAGCCAGAGAGGGGAAGTCCACTACCTGAGCGACACTCCCCAAGGGTGGCCTTGATGTGGCCCTGTCCCTGCTCCAAAGCCTTCAACGGCTGGCTCCACACCCCTGCTAAATTAGAGATGACCTCCCTGGCCAGAGCACCTACCGTACGAGGGTTCAGCACGTGTCCCGGCCCCACCTCCAGGTGCCCCACAGCCACAGTCTCGGGTGCTACCTCCCGAGCCTCTTCCTCATCTCTGATCACAGCCTCCGGGCTCCTGCCTTTGCTCCTCCTAGCATCTCCCACTCCGGCCCCGCCATGAGGGCACTGCCCATGTGCTGTCTTGTCTCTTTCAGGCCCTCCCCTCCCCTCCATAGGGAGCTCAGTGATTAGCTATCAGATGGTGAGAAGATCCCCTCCTTGCTGGGAGCACAAGGAGGGGTGGGACATTAAGTGAAGGAGAGCAGGGCAGCCCCCGCAGTGATGCAGTAACAAGACCACCAACCCATCTCCCACTTCATGGTAATGATCAGACTCTGGTGACAAGAAACACCAGCAGGAAGTACACCAACATGAAAACAACTTTCCCCGGGAGGTAGAAACCGAAGCAATAAACAAAGTCTTCTTTCTACTTCTTCTAAATCTTTTTTTAACGACTATACACTCCTCTTTTCAAGAGGGAAAAATGAAAAATAAAACATCTTGGGTAAGTGCTCTCCAAGCAGTTTTCTTAAGTGTTGAGAGGACATTACACCTTCTATGAGCAACTCTCTGGATTGACCCCGTGTCTCCACATCTGAGCTTGGTTCTGAGTTGGGCAGATGAACCAAGAAGCACCCCCCAGGGCCCCTGAAAGAAGCCAGGCTGCGGCCAAGAGGAGCAGGGCAGGGACTGAGCACACGGGGCTCCCAGGTGGAGATGCCAGGTTGCACACCTCTGCTCCTTCTGAACGCCGCGGAAAAAGGAAGCGGCAGAGATGGGGGAAGAGGCGGGGGCAGCAGGGGACCTGAAAGTGGGTGAATGAGCACATGGATCAGCACACCTGGGAGCGTGGAAACGGAAACCAGCAGAGGGATTAGAAGGCTCAGAACCACCAAGCTCGCTGGAGCTGGCAGAGGCCTGGAGGTGAAGGTGGGCTCGAAATAGGAAGATCGGTTGAAAATTAGAATAAAAGGCAGTTAGACATCCCTGCCCCTTCCTCCACTCCAAGCCTTCATTCTTTGGAAGGGTTGAACCAGGAACTCTGGACTGGTGGACCCCAAGCACAACCAGTTGGAGAAGGAAATGGCAACCCACTCCAGTATTCTTACCTGGGAAATCCTACAGACAGAGGGGCCGTGGTGGGTACAGTCCATGGGATTGCGAAGAGTCGGACATGACTGAGCAACTTACACTAAGCATAACCAAGAGTGAGAGTCTGGGCAGAAAACTGGGGGGTGGAGCTGATGTCTATGTATCAGGAGACCCCCACAAGCCCACTTCCAACTTACACTAAGCATAACCAAGAGTGAGAGTCTGGGCGGAAAACTGGGGGGTGGAGCTGATGTCTATGTATCAGGAGACCCCCACAAGCCCACTTCCCACGAAGCTCTCAGAGTGTTGGCAGAGAGACTCACCCCTCTCTGGGCCACAGATTGGACATTTTTGAGGGATTGAGCAGCACAAGGGAAAATATGTAAAGATATTGCAGTCACTTCTCCCAGTGAAACAACTTAATGAAATGTCGACACGAGAAAGCCCCCCAGTTGGTAACCCCACTTGGAGTTTTAATCAGCCTTTTAGGGGCTCACTGCTAAATGTGGATGGACAACCAAGTTTCGTCAACTGTGTATGGAAAGTCTCCAACACAAGAGAGGGAAAGTACGGGGGAGACTGAAAAAGGAACTTGGAAGAAAGCAAAGAGAAACTCAAACAAACAAACAAGTGAAAACATATTATTCACATCTTCAGAGATACATAAGAAGATATTGCATCTACAAAACAGGAACAAAATGCTCTGAAGAGCAACACTTAGCAGAAAAGAGTTCTTGAGAATGAAAAAGATGACAGCAGAAATGAAAAGTTAAGCAGGAGATTTGAAAGATAAAGCTGAGGGCCATCTTCGAGAAAGTCAAACAAGAAGACAAAGATGGCAGACAGAAAGTTACCGTCAGAGGCTCAGACTGGGAGGTCTAACATCTGAAAACCAGGAGTTCCAGGAACAGAGTCCAGAGAAAAAGGAGAGGGGAAATGATCAGATGCAATATATTTGGAGGCATGTGTTTCTAGACTATTAATAAAAGGAAGAAACTAGTTCCCAGAACAATGGGTAGAGAAAGAGCCAGAGAAGGCACACGATAATGAAACTCAGAACATGAAGGACTCCCCCGATGCCCGGCATGCTAGCCACCTCCTGGGCCCAGACAGCAGTGTCCAGTGCCCTTGACCACTGGGGTGACAGCCTTCCGTGGGGGACTGAGACTCTGAGCAGTGCTCCCGCCACTCCGCTCCCCCTACCTCGCAGGTTCCGGATAAAGTCCTCCAGCATCATCTTGCGGTCCGGCTTGATGTTGGGACTGTACATGTCGGTGTTGAGCAGGATGATGGCGAAGGCCAGGATGAAGATGGTGTCCGGGTTGTGGAACTGTTGTACCACCTCGGGGTTGCACATGCAGTAGCGCTGGCTGCGGTGGGGACACGCGTGGGGCGTGAGGACCCTGCCTTCCCCAGGCTCCAGAGAAGGGGGCACTCGGGAACGTGTCCGGTTCTCTGAGGGTGGGCTTAGGCCTGGGGGCCTCCCTGTCACCCCACACTTTGGCCCCCACCCCCACCGAGGGAATGCACCCACAGACCCCAGGCACCCCCTCCCCACCAGTGCCAGCCTCAGACTGATGCTCAGGAAAGACCTGCTGGTTGACGGGGACACACGAGGTGCCAGCAGGCCATCTGGAGGCCAGATGCTGGTCCAGCTCAGAAAGCCCCAGAGGTCTGCCCGCTTCTTTCCTCCCCTCCTACCACCCTCCCACCCCCGCCCCCAAGCCCCACCCAGCCCCCTACGGACTCCTGTCCTCAGCTCACAGCCCCAGCTGCTTCCTCTATTCCCTGGGCGTGTGCGGGACTCCTGCCCCCAGCTGGCAGCCCCTTACTTTCCCCACGCCCAGCGTATGTGAAGGCTGGGGAGGGCCCACCTGAAGGCCTCTATGAGCCGCTCCACCTTCTGGGCCTCGCCCTGCACGCGGATATGGGCCTGGAACTTGCGCAGGGCCTCGTCCAGCTCCATGGCAGAGAAGTCCATCTCGTCCACCACGCAGCTGAGGCCGGGAGGGGAGGGGGCTGTAAGGGCGGTGGGCCGGACCTCCCTCCACCAGCCAGAGCTGGGGAGGAGGGCGAAGCCCACCTGCTGGCTAGACAACCCCTCCCTGAAGGAAAGACAGGACTTGGGGGCCTGAGACCAACCAGGAGGGACTTACCCATGCCAGGGTCTCCTGCCATAGCCCAAGAGGACCTCCTCACCCCCTGCCTCCCCCTGCAGACAGCCCTGCAAGGTGCTGGCTGAGGGTCCTCCTCCCATTACCAGAACCTTCGACCCAGGGCGGCGGCCGGCAGTCCAAGGCCTCTGGCTAAGAGGATGCTGAGCCCAGACCTCCCACGTCCAAATCCCAGGGCCTCTCCTCTCAGCCCCTGAGCATCCAGAAGTCAGAGGTTTAAACGGTGAACAGTTTCCTCTCCTGTCCTCTCCAAGGCCTGTCAGGGGCCTGGCTTTCTCCCTGCTTTCTGTTCCATTTGGGAGTCTCCTCTTACACCACCCCTCCAGTGTCTGAGTGTTCGTAGCCGAGGAGCCTGCCCACCCCCAAGCAAGTGACAAGTCAGCTTCACCTCCTGGCCCCCAGCGCATCCAGCCTTGCCCTCCTGGGGCACCCTGTCCCCAGGGTCATGAGCATCGATCAGGGCAGGAATCAGGGCCCCACAAAGCATCAGCCCTGACGCCCCCGAGGGCCGCAGAGGCTTCCACGTGGAGCTGACGTGTCCTTTTCCGCATGCATGTGCCGCTCCACTCTTCTCTGCCCTGGCCACCCCACACCCGACCCATGCTGCCCTCTCTTAGTTCCCATACGATGCAGAGAGTAGGGGGTTTTTCCTGAACACAGGGGAAAGAAATAGAAGGGTACCATCAGAGGATTGACAAATCCAGTTTGTTTGAAGATGGTTTCTCTGGTGTTGGGGGAGAATGAAATAACAGGGAAGGGCAGGAGCAATAGAGAAGCAGGGGCCAGCAGGATGCACCTGCAGAGGGCCAGGCGAGAGACGGGGCTAAATCGGAACAAATCGAATGGACCTGAATGGACCAGGCCAGCTCAGAATCTGAGAGACATCCTAAAGGAAGAACTGGGGGAGGAGATGAGGGTTTATTTGGTTGATCTACAGGGTTCATAAGAGGCCACGTTAAATAATGGTGCTACTAGGCACAGAGGAGGATGCTGAGGGCGAGTCAGTCCCTGGGCAGCCTTCACCAGGCCACAGGCTGTGTTAGCAATTCTTGCAGGAAAGTCAGGGTGTACATCTTTTATGTTTTACCAAGTATTTAATATTTTAAGTTGACCTGAGTAAATATTTGATTATGTCTGGTTTGAGGAATTCTTCAGATAAAATGTCCCCACACCTAGCATTTCGCTCTTCTCAAAGCTGAAAGTATATACGTGTTTATTTGGTATAACCTGGACAAAGTACTGCAGTGGGTGTGAACCAAAGACTGCACATTCTGAATTCTCAGCAGCCCAGGAGGCTCTTCCCTGAGATCGGCCACCTCTGTTCCTGCCCACTCCGGTCAGCAGGCCCTGCTGCCTCTCCCTGGCTCAGGGTTCCACCCACCTCTCCCCTCCCCACAGCCTTTGCTAAGGGTCAAGGCCTCAGCATCTCACCACAACTGTGACTTCAATAGCCTCTGGACCAGCCTCCCTGGCTCCAAACCATCTTCCGGAAGAACATTTCTAGGACATCCATGGCCCTGCTTATAATTTTTCCAGGGCTTCCCACACCCCCTGTAAGAAACTCGAGTTCCCCAGCAAAGCACAGCCCTGGTCGCTCCCAGTCGCCCCTGCCCCTGCAGCATCCTGGCTCTGTCCTGCAGCCTTGCTCTCCAATCACTGCATGTTCACCCAGGCTGCTCCTTCGTCCTGCGGCCCACCCCCTACCTCCAGGTCTGCGTCTAGATGTCCATCTCTCAAAGAGTCTTCCTCGACCTCCATGGTTCCTCTGCTGTGTCTCCCACCAGGCCACATGCTCCCAGATCCCCAGAGTCAATTTCTGCATTCCTAGCGGATATCTGAACTCAATAAACATTCCTGGGGTGGATGAATGAGTGAGTGACAGGACCAACCTGGAGAACATGAGCTGGAGAAGGAGCCCTGTGGCTGGGGCTTTGACCTGGTGGCCCAGATCAGCTGGACCTGACCCCCTGGGCCAGTGGATTCCAGACCGCGGGCAGTGAGGCAGAGTGGAGTGCACACACTTCCCATTGTTCGGCCGCCTCTGCAGGCCAGGGAGTGATGAGAAACCCAGCCAGCTGGCCCTGATGACGCTGCTCCCGGGGAGATGTCTGGATCTGCCTGGCGAGGTGCTGCTGACAGAGGGTAATCCCGGTGGTAATCCCACTTAGGTCGGGGGAAGCGGGGGCTGTGCCCTCCTTCCTGTGAGATTCTGCAGGGATGGGGCAAGCCCCTTGCAAGGGCTGGGGAAGCATAAACACAGACGCTCCCTGCATCTGTATAAACAGGTACAACCTTGCATAAAATTGCTCGTTAGCACGGATCCACGCGTGTCGTCAGTCGGCATTGCAGGAAAATGAAGCGTCGTACACAACTGTGATCAAAATGAATGTTGTCACCTCCACTATTTTTTTTTAACGATAGCAAGACAGTGTCTGGCAGACAAAGGCACTGGATGAGACCTGAAAATAGGTAATGATGGCAGCAGGGATTTTTAATTGGCCAGAAGAGACAGCAAAGACATGGAAGCTGAGCCTCGGGCCAAGGCTGGGAGAGGTGTGTGTGCTGCCCATGAGGGATTCTGCTCCAGGCGGAGTCGGGCCAGTTTCAAGATTAGGATGGAAAACGAAACCACCCACCACCACGAGCTGGAGGAACCCGGGTGTTATTTCTGCAGTTCTCGTCTCATACAATTCAATTAAAAATATCCCCATCCGCCGCAGAGTTATTTTCCTTAGTTGGAACTCATAACATGCCTAACGAAGGTCAGGGCCTTCTGCAAAAGGGCGACGTGGCCAACAAAACAAAGCTGGAGGAGGCTGACGCAGGGGGCCTGCCAGGGTCCCTGGTGACGACACAGCAACAAAGAAAATCCCATTTGAGGGCCTCAGAGGGGATGGCTGCTGACGCACCTTGAACCTGCCCCACAAATCGGGAGTCAGTGAGGATGCCGAGGCCACTTTCCTTTTGCCGGGCTAGCAGCCCCACCCGGTGGTTCTCACCAGAGCCACCTGGCAGGCTGATCAGCAAGCAGGAGGCAGGGCACCACCCCAGGGGTTCTGATGCCAGGGGTCTGGGCTAGAGTCTGAGAATTGACGTCGCTAACAAGTTTTCAGGGGCTCTGCTGTTCAAGACCCATGCTCTGTGCCGATGACAGGGGTGGATCAGGCAGAGGTCAGGCTCTTGGTGTCAGGCATCCTTGGGTTTGAATCTCAGTCTTCCCTGGTAGCTCAGTTGGTAAAGAATCCATCGGCAATGCTGGAGACCCCAGTTCAATTCCTGGGTTGGGAAGACCCCCTGGAGAAGGGATAGGCTCCCCACTCCAGTCTTCTTGGGCTTTCCTTGTGGCTCTGCTGGTAAAGAATCTGCCTGCAATGCGGGAGACCTGGGTTCAGTCCCTTAGTCGGGAAGATCCCCTGGAGGAGGGCACGGCAACCTACTCAAGTATCCTTGCCTGGAGAATCTCCATGGACAGAGAAGCCTGGTGGGCTATAGTCCAAGGGGTCACAAAGAGTCGGACGCTACTGAGCAAATTTCACTTCACTTCACTTCCACCATATAACTGTTAGGTTCCAGTCGCTTAGCCTCGCTGGGCCTCACTTTTCTCATCTCTAGAATGGAGCTAACCCTGTAACACCTAGTTACAGGTAACATCCCTGTAACCCACCAGTGGGCAGGTGGGGTTATGGGTTTTAGAAGAGACGATGTATGTAAAGCTCTCAGTTTATAACACAGTATAAGAAACAGAGAGTTCCCAACTTGCAGTTGCCAAGGCGTAGGGGAGGGAGGGATAGACTGGGAGTTTAGGGTTGGTAGTCGCAACTATTACATTTAGAATGGATAACCAACAAGGGACTACTGTATAGCCCAGGGAATTATACTCAATATCCCGTGACAAACCATAATGGAAAAGAATATATAAAAGAATGTCTCTATAACGGAGTCACTTTGCTATACAGCAGAGATTGGCACAACATTGTAAATCAGCTATACTTCAATAAAAAATAAAATAAGTAAAAATAATAAATATATGTGTGTGTGTGTTTAGTTGCTCAGTCATGTCCGACTCTTTGCAACCCCTATGGACTGTATGTAGCCTGCCAGTCTCCTCTGTCCATGGGATTTCCCAGGAAGAATACTGGAGTGGGTTGCCATGTCCTCCTCCAGCGGATCTTCCCAACCCAGGGATCGAACCCAGGTCTCCCGCATAGCAGACAGTTTCTTTACCTTCTGAGCCACCAGGGAAGCCTATATATATATATAGTGACTATATATATATATAGTGACTCAGACAGTATATGTATATATACACAAATATATTTTTAAAAAGGAAATGAGAGTTCTCGTTAGGAACCAAATCAGAGCTGATGTGCCCGGTGGTTAAGCAGATCTGAAGTGTCTACTAGCAGAGCTATAAACACCTTTGCCATCATTGCCAATTAACTATGCCTGAAAGTCCATCACCAGACCCATCAACTGTTTATAACATAGTTATAAACAGAGAGAGGAAACAGAGTCGGCTCAGACCAATGGAGGTGTGTGGACCAGTTCCTCAGCTCTGCCTTCTTCCTAGATGAGAGGGTTGGGGCCAGCAAATAAAGGTGCATCAGGGATGGAAGGGGCTTCTCGGGTGGTGCTAGTGAACCCACCTGCCAATGCAGGAGACACAAGAGACATGGGTTTGATCCCTGGGTCGGGAAGATCCCCTGGAGGACAGCGTGGCAACCCACTCCAGTGTTCTTGCCTGGAGAACCCCATGGACAGAGGATCAGGCAGGCTACATACAGTCCATGGGGTCACATAAAGTCAGACAGACTGAGTGACTT